GCTGGACTCCGGTTGGACAAAATCAAATTTGACGGCTGAATCGTCTTGTTATTTAGCAGGTTACGAGACACTATTGATTTATAAAATAGAGAAATAATTTAAAAAAAAAAAAACGACAAAACACAGTTACTAAATAAATGACTGCCGCGTTGTAATGGGTGAACGCGTCGGGTCATGGGGGGGGGGGGGAACAAGTGCGTGAATGGCGGCGTTTAATTGGATAACAAAAATAATTGAGAGCGACTCACATACAGACAAATTCAGAGTGGATTTAGCGTGATTTTCATGATTATGACATCATATTAAAAAAATACATTGACAGCTCAAGCCCGGATTCTTATTCCGTAAATTATTACGCCGATCAAGCTGCAAGTAAAGGCAACACTTTTAGCCTGCGAAAATGAAAACAGCCTGAGGGCTGCGTAATTTCCTGTTTGTCCGACGCTTCGTTTTCGTGTCATTATCAAAATTACTGCTACCTTTTACATAACACGGGTGGTCTCTATAAAGCGATAATCAGGATCGCAAAAAAAAATCAAATCATTTGAAACACGTACTCTACGTCTCTCTCCCTTCTGAAATCCGTCTCGGTGATCATGGGCTGGTCCGGAATCTATTTTTTCGAAAACGTTTTGTATTGTCGGCGTTTCTCGTTAAAACCTAGTTGTTTTGTCAAAGAATCTGAGGTGAAGTGGACACTGCATATGACGCTGTTAGGAAGAAGTCCACCCCAACCTTTTCTCGTTATTTTCATGGCTTTCGTCCACCGCGATTGGAAACGTGTAAATACTTACACTATGACTATACGCATTACTGCAACCGCCCACAACACAACGTTTAACCATCATAAAAGTTTGTTGTGAAAACAACTTCTAAAAATTCGCTCTCTCAAAAATAAAACAAAATAGACAAAAGAAACGCCGATTAAAAAATGTATATCGTTTAAAAGTACAGTTGTACATTGAATGACACAGTGATATAAAAGTACGGCCCAGGGGTATGGCTTCCTCTCATATTTTTGCATTTGGTGGCGCACTTTCGGCGAGAGTCGGAAATCCGGAAACAGTCGACCGTTTCAGGATAGGTGGGCGTGGCTACAGCACGGGAAATATCTCAAATTTACTTGGATACGAGTAATCATTTTCAGCAAAAAAATCAATAATTGCCCATTTCAGTGGGGCACAGATCTAAAATGGGAAACGTGTGGGTGGGCATTGCACAGGCACTTTAATGTGGTTAGTCCCAAGCTTGTGAACTGCTCTTGTAACAAGCGTAATTACAATTTTCTTTGTTTCTGTGTTTGAGGCGGTAACTGTTCAGGATTAGAGTGCAATATCTACTTGCCACCTCTCATAACCCTCCGAGTACTTCAATGTAATAGTTAAAGACAAAGTTGGTAATTTTGTCGACTTTATAGCGGTTTCTGTCGTACCTTGCCTAATGTAACAATCATTGCTAAGGTAAAAGTAGCACAACATTGCTACACTCTTTTGTATATGTAGCAAACACAGTATGTACCACGTGCACCCCAGATGCCCTCAATATTCCCGATGTCTGTAAAACGGCTACAACGGCTAAACCAAGTTCTCTAGAATCTGGATGCTCCCACACATGTGCCCCCACTACTACAGCATCCCCACATTTAACATCATGCTAAGGAGAATCTGAATTACCTGCTTGCAATGATTGAATAGAGTCAGTCCAAGTCTTATTATATCATTTATCTAAATTGCACTGGTTGTTAGAGACAGTATTACCAGCATAATTCATGTAAATTAATGAAGTAGAGCTGTCAACTTAGCCACAAGAAGAAGCAGTTGACCCACGAACTCATCATGCTCAGTAGCCACACTTCGTCATTGGCAGTTTTGCACTGACGCCCTCTTGGTCAAATTCTGACTCAGTGCTGTCTGATAAAACATTTGCCGAAAGTCTGAGCGTAACCCAGAAAAGAATCTGAATAAAATTCGATGTTGGTATGCTGACAAACACTAAAACAAGCATAGTCGAGTAACAATGACACATGGCAAATTATATACAAAGTTCAATAGAAATTGTAGCGAACGAAAAACGTCCAAAATGCAAAATGGCATTGAGATTAAAAGTATATTACACTTATAAAAACAAAAGCAAAATGGCGGCTGACACAATTTGCTGTTATCGATTTTTTTAGAAAACATCATCATCACCGAGACGAATCTAAAAAAAGTACTTATCCAACATTGGCGGCGTAGAAGTAATCTTGATTTGAGTTTGTCATGACATGCTTTCGAAAGTGACAAATTTATACAATAGTGTGAAACAATGTTTTGTGATGTTCAGTATCTGAAAAATTGTTTTACAATATGATATATCTTGGAAAGTTGTAAACCGTGAAAAAATCTGACACTATTAGCGATTCTCCATGGGCCAAATAATCCGTGAACGGTGAAAATTACAACAAAAAATGATTTCGAAAAGTTATGTAAACAACGTTGCGACTAACTCACTGTTGAGTCTATGTAACTAGCATGTTTTAACTTTAAGAGTTGATTTCCAGCATTGGTTATGAAATAATAAACAATCATTGAAACTCAAGGAACTATATTTTAGGTAGGCTTAATGATGATTTTGTGTAACTTAACTATGATACACGCATCTTCTGATTTATATAGCTCTTAAATAATCTATTATCTTAATTTTTCATCAATGGCGACTTTGTTTAGAAAACGTTTGAAAAGGAAATCGAAAACGGAACAGTCGAGTATTTGCCTTATTAGCGCTCAGGGTCGTGCCAAGATGCACAAAATCAAGTTATTTTTGTTCTTTATTGAAATGTTGTGTTTGTTTTTGCAGGGCAAAGAAAGCTGGGCCAGGCCCCTGGTCGAAATATCTCATCAGTCGTTTGAGCAAGAATAAGCAAAGAAACTAGTCAATGAATCCTATATCGCTTTGATTTGTTTTCATGTGTATTCTATACAGCGCCACCTACGTTTGCAAAAAAGTATTGTATATTTTCTCCACTAGAAGTTTGAAATTTGACAATCTGTAATCAATCATCAAATCACTTTGTTGCCATGGATATGTCTTGATATTGGCTAAGTCTTCATTCAATCTTGTGTATGCAACAATGCATGCATAATATTGAATCATAATTTCAAAGAAACCGCCCTCTAGTGTCTACTATATACAATTATTACGATAGTATATCGATCTACACATGCTGTATCATAAATAATAATAATATTAATAAATCAATAATTTTTTAGATTTGCAATGATTGAGATATTTACATGTAGTTGCATGTTCAGTTATATAAATATACATATATTATACACTCGAAATCAATAGACAATACAAACCAGGCAAATATGAAGGTCAATACTTCTCAGTGCTAGACGAAGTATCATGTTATACCAATAGCACAGTAGACAACAATTAAACGTTAGAGTTACAAATTTGACAAAAGTTCTTCTTTATATTCTGTGTGCTTACTTTTTATCACAGTGTGAATTTGATTTTCTTTCTTAATTCGATAATTAATCATGTGTATTTTAGTTTTTGTATTGTTGTGTTCAAATTTGTAAATAAAATTCAACTCATGCTTAGTTTACCTGAATTCAGTGCGTTCAAGTTTATGCGATGGTTTACGTGTGACGGTGGTTTACGTGTGACTCGTACGAGGTATCGCACTGAACTAGAACCTGTTTGTTACGTAGCTCTTCCAGGAAGTAACGAGCACCTTTCTTGAGGGTAAACATCTCCAAAATATTTATGTGACGTTTGGATTTTTGCAGGGTTCACTCCTCCTAACTTTCCTGTCCATGAGGTGTTCGTTACAGACTTACTGCTGGAGTTGATGACTCAATCTGCACTCCTCATTATATACTGGATAAATGCAGTCATCACTTGAAGATCGGTAGATTTTGTTTGATCAAGGCTACCTTTGACCTGCAATTGCTCGACTTGGAGTACTAATGCCTGATCACTCTTCTCAGTACTTCTGTTGGCAATTCTGTCGACTTTAGGGATTGGTCAGTTTACTTTGGCCTAGGGGGGGGGGGTCGGTGGATCAGTAGGGGGGGGGTTACCCAGTTTTTGATTGTGCGAATAGGGGGGTCACCCTGTTTTTGATATCATGTTTTCCACAATTCACACACGCGCTCATGCATATATTTTTTAAAATGCTATTTCAGAACAAACGATAAAAAAGTTAATCGTACGTTCTTAATAATAACTATTACCTATATTGCCTATAAATTTGTTGATGCAAAAAATGTTATAGACTAAATATTTTGAGGTTAAAGTTGCCAAATAACTAACAGATTATGCAATGCGGCTAGAACCCCAATTATACAGTTAAGTTTTAAACACATCCCAAGTCCATGTGCTGCTGATATCAGATTATTTTATTTAAAGTCTGAAGTCACCATTGTATAAAATATTTACTGGATTTATCCAATTATAACAGGAGACGGAAATACAACACCGTGACAACAATTAGTACAAAGAGCAGTGACAGTTTTTGTTCAGCAAATCAAAAAAGTTAAATTTGTGAAAATGCTGATATATAAATTAAAATAAATGACGAAAAAATAAATAAATAGTTTTTTTTGTTTTTTTAACTTTTAAATATGCATATTTTGCTCTGTAAAATACTAAAATCCAACACAAATTTAAGCAAAAATCAAAGTTTCCTTTGTTTTCATAGAGTAAGTACTCCACAGCTTTGCTTTTATTTACTATCATTAGCAGCATAGATTTCCCTCCTTCCTGCAGCCTTTTCTGTAGTTATTTTTTGGCTTTATGCTTCCCCTCCCCTCCTAAGGTCTATTAAATGCAAATGCTAAAAATTATGTCAAAATTATGGCAAACCATGATATTTTCAATGCACATATAATACATTTTGTAATCATATCAGAGCCAAAACTGTTAATGTTTCTTTGTTTTTTTAGGGGGGTCAGCATGTTTTAAGTTTTAAAATATAATGTTGTGGGGTGGGGGTCACCCACTTTTTTTGTTGATAGGGGGTGGGTCAACTGAGATTTACAGCTGGCAAAATGGAATCTGCTGACCCCCCCTAGGCCGAAGTAACTGACCAATCCCTTATTGTGGCCTCTGTTGCACCATGCCTTAAGTAACAATCATAGCTGGAGGTGGCAGTTCACAATAATTCCGACACAGTGTGTATCACTTCAGTTGCCCACATTTAACGTCATTCTATGTAGATTCTGAATTACCTGCCTGCAAGTCAGTTCAAGTCTTATGGTAATATTTACATTGCACTCATTATCAGTATTACGCTTTGATTATGGTTTGTTCGGGTATCTGACTCTACCAGCTAATGATGAGCAGCTGAAAACTTAACTACAGGAAGAAGAATAGGTTGACCCATAATCTCCTCACCCTCAGCAGCCGCCCCATTAGTCTAAGGCTGAGTTTTGCACTGACGCCCTCTCCTACAAACGCTGACTCAGTCCTGCCTGACGTAAGAGGGAAACTCCCCCAAAAACAATCTGAATAAACTCCGATGTAGGTGTTTTTATTTTACACATTTTTATTTAACTGAGATATGGTATAAGAAAATCTTGCAATCAATTTCCATAACGAGTGAAAAAATGTTTTATGAGTATCTGAAAAATTGTTTTTCAATTTGTGTCTGGATAGGTTGTCAACCGTGAAAATTGTTGTGTCATATTGGACTCTACCAGCTACCACTAACTCACTGTTAAATCAGTGCAATAAGCGTATTTTAATTTTAAAAGTTCATTTCTCAACCTTTGATATATTAGTTGAAAGTCAAGAAATTGTCTCTTAAATAAACTAATACCTTACTTTTTCATCAATAACTTGGCATTCATAATGCACACACGTGTCGATTCACCTATGGCATTGACACTTATTGAGCTTGAGGTTAATGAATGGGATGAACCATTCAACCCTAGGAAACCTGCAAGTCACTGTATGTGACCTCAGGATGTTGCATTGTCTGCACTGCTCTGCCCCTGCCAGGTGATGGGTTCCTAACTTCATTCCATTCTCCTTGCATCAGAGCACTCTTTTGTGACGGGTCACACTACAATTGGTTGTCGAGTCAAACTTGTTTGTTCTGTATTCATCCAGGAAGTAACGAGCACCCTTCTTGAAGGTCAACATTTCCAGAATGTTTATGTGACGTTTGAGTTTTTGCAGGGTTCACTCCTCCTAATTTACCTGTTATTGAGGTGGGCTCCCGATCCTACTTTCTAGGTGTTATAATTGAAGAATAAATATGTTGGATACGTCCATCCACCACATGAAGATGTATACCAGGTAGACTTTGTTTGTTCCATGCTAATATCAGGGGGGGGGGGGTTCTTCTCTCTGGTGTTCTCGACACTGTCAGGGGGGAATCTCGTCTCGTCTCTCTATCGCGTCCCCTTGAGGTGCGGGATCGGGAAAGTCACTTAAGCTTTACAGTCAAATAAGACACACGCAGCAAAATACGTTTCAACTCTCGTCTTAGTCGGTCAATCGAGCACTCTATAAGACACAGCGCCCTGGGGAGAAGTCCCCAAGACTATCGCAAGGCTGACCCAAGACTCGCCCAAGACTCTACAGGACTCTCCAAGAGTGCGTCTCTCGTGGTGTACTCGCCAAGACCAACTCAAACTCTCTTTATTCATTTTCAAAACCTTAACCAATTACAAAGCAGTATTAAGACTCTAAGGCGTGGCCTTCAATCATACAGCCAATCACACTAAGTACTGAACACGTCATATCTTTTGATTAATCGTTCACTACATTAATAACCACGAATACTAACTGTCAGAAATAGTAGTCCGAATAGCGACGGTTATCTCGTAATTAGTTCCAAATCACTGAGTCGAGTTCCGTCCAGGACCTCGCCTGCCTAAACGATGACAGATATAACACAGCCATTCGCTAATAATCAGCTAATTAAGTCGATTAACAGATACGTGAAAACAATTTCATCATACTAACTTTGTCTCCAGCAGCGACCTGTACCACTGGGCTCGGAGTACTAATGCATGAATGTGGTGCACTTTTGCCTATATTAGCAGCTTTATTATCTGCCAGAGCATATGCTGTAAAAGTTCCCTTGTTATCTCCCCTATCGCATGCTACCACGTGACCCTTCTCCTAGAGAATCGTCGGATTTAGCATCATGATAACAAGCTTCAAAAAGTCTGAAGAAACCTCCAAAGAGTAATCTGAATAAAATCCGATGTATGTTTAGGCTCTATTTAAAAAGGACAATCATACGTCTTTATCGACCCAGATACGATATAAAAAAATAAATTCCGGAAAATAATAACAAAAAACTAGTCTTCAATATAAGCAAAATTAACAATAAAAAATAGAGCTGATCTATTTGGACGACTCTTTCTTTTTTCTCAGTATAAATAGTGTTAGAACGCTGTTTCTTACTAGATTTGTTTTAGATTCATGGGGTTTCTTAGGAGGGTCAGGGGTCGCCTGAATCGCCGCTGTTATCGGGAGACAGTGTCCCATACATGTATCATACAAACTAGATCTAATTCCATAGCACATCAAGCTTACGAACAAACACTTAAACAAGCAGAGTTGGATAACAATGACAGATATAGTACAATATTCAATATGAATTGTAGCGAACATAACCTGCCCAATGTTGCGGTTGAAACAGTGTGCTGTTATTGAACCCTTTAGAAAAGTAGTAAGTAGTTTAAAGAAAGTAATTCAGTTCTCGGAAATAATAGACACTTCTTGGGCTTTTTTAACGACCTATTTTCATTGAGACTAGCATACTTGTCGGTAATTATAGAATTGGTTACTTGGTGCAAAGAGGCCGATTTTTGTTGGCGGCTCGATCGTTTTCGATCTTGGGAAAACTCTGACGAATATATCCCACGAGGTCATTCCGTACTCTAATATCGAATGTTGGTAAGGTAAGTAAACTGAGCTAGTAAAATAAAGTATACACTTGAAATCGGCAGGATCTTCCAATCGGTTTTCGTGGCGAACTTGAAACAGAGTTGAGTTTGTTGTGACATGCTTTCGAAAATAAAAAAAATCACACAATAGCGTGAAACTAGTTTCATGGTGTATCGGAACAATTGTTTTATAATATGATATGTCTGGAAAAGTTGTAAACCATATAAATAATCGTGTTATATCTGACAATACCATCGATTCTCCAGAAAAAAGTAGTAGTGTTTTTGTAAGCAGCCTGGGCCAATTAAACCGCAAATGACGAAAATTACGTAAACCTCGATTTCGAAACAATTGTTTTCATCTAACTATGATACACGCTTTCCCTGATATAAATATAGATCCTAAATAAACTATTATCTTAATGTTTCATCAACGGCGATTT